TAATGTGGTAGGACTGAAGAGCTGAGAGGGATGGTCAAAGGAGAGGGGGTTGATGAAATCCACATCACTAGAGAATCCAGAGAGCAAAGGAAGAAAAAAAATTTCTGAGAATCCATAAGAAGCTCTAAGGATCATCAGTATTAAGCTTAAGATATAGCATGAGGGATTGAGGTTTGATACAAAGAAAAACTTTCCGAGTGTGAAGAGTTTGGGGTCTGGACAGGTGATTAAAGAAGGTCTTCTAGAGAAATCTTTAAAACCAGGAAGTATCCTCCTCTTCATCACATCCCATGCCTCTTAGATCATTTGGCCAAACTGGATTACAAGTAGAGGAGTAGATCAGATGACTCCAGTTATCCTCACCTTGCCAGGTCTTTAATCTCATAGCCATTATCGATTTTCTGCCTTCCTGCGGCCACCCCCACAGACAAGAGAAGCTTGTCCTTCCTAGAGGTTTTGGCCTCTTCCTGAAAGGGAACAGCTAACTCCTAAGGGATGTAAGAAGACAGATGCCTAAGTGTCAGAATTTGAGAACAAAACTCTAGCCTGGGGCTTGGGAAATGCCACAAAGCAAATATTCTCCTTTCCTAAGAAAGCCTTAGTAATCCAGGAATCTTATTGGTTAGGAAAGTACAGTCCCCCAATGCCACCCATGTGGGCCACACATCCCTGTCCTCCTGAGGCCCCGCAAGAATTAGTACAGATTCTGACCCAAGCTTCTCATGCCTGGGAAAGGATTAAGAGGGCTACTTTTCACGCAACCCCACATGATTCATACCATCCTTCTCCTTAGCCCTTGAGGACTCAGACTATACCCCTCTATTGCTCTGGGAGCTGGCCAAAGAGAGGATCTAGTCTGCTCCATCATACCAAAAGGGAGGGCCTGAGTTTTCTCCAATAGACTGAAAGATGCCAGCCTCTGAGGATCAGGGTTCCTCCTTACTGTAATACCCATTGTGGGACACAACACCCAACATGGGAGAATGGACCAACTACTCCATAGGACTTGCAGCACTCATACATGAATCAGAGAAGCAAAAAAAGGATTTTCATTCAGCTCAGGGTAGATCCAGTTTATATTCAGCCCATTGAAGTCATTGTGCCTCAGTAACTGGATCACGGAGTTGATAATTGTTGATCGTGATTCAGAAGAATCCACCGTGGGGTGAAACCTGGTAGAAACAAGTCTGACATCTCTTGGAAAGAACTGGTAAGAAGACCAGCATAACATGTTAACCCAGAGTCTGTGAAAGTTCACAATGGCAGTCTCAAATATTATCTATACAGGACCTTCAGAAACCATGCCTGAGCAGAGCAAAAAACCACTCAGGTCTGAACTCCATGGGCCCATGTATCATCATCTTCACTCCAACCATTTTCTGTGCCTCACTCCTTTTCCACCTCTTGCTGTAAGAACTATAATCAAATCAACACTACCATTGTCTCTGTAAAAGGCATGTCAAAATCATGACTGACTATTCTATCCCTATGATTTCCTAGAGTCTAAATCAAAACAGGTTTCTCTGGTCACCACTCCCCTCTCTGTGTGATCTCTACTGATTAGAATGTAAGCTCCTTGAGGGCAGGGACAATTTAAATTTTTATTTACATCCTAACAGAGTTCTTGGAACATAGTAAATGTTTAATAAGTATTTTCAATTCACTCATTTATCCTTTGACGTGCAACCTTCCCCATCCTTTGATAATAGATGGTATATACATATTCACACATATGTATGTGCGTGTATATATTATATACATATATACATATATGCATACATATTGCTTCCAAGTTTACAAAGATTTTACATACATCATCTCATCTGATCTTCACAACAACCCTATAACATAGGTACTATTCCTGTTTTACCAATGAAGAAACTGACTCAGAAAGGTTAAGGAATTTTGCCTTGGGTACCCAGATAGTAAGTGTTGCAGATAAGATCTGAACTCCAGGTAGCCTTGCTGGAGGTTCAATCTTTTTTCCACTATACATAGTGTCAGGAAGGCATAGGGACTGGACGTGTGAATTAATTTGTGTAGAGATTATCGAGATAACAAAATCCTTCTGCCAGTGCCGGTCAGCCACTTTTCTGCAATTTGTAGCCATAGAGAGCTATTTAGAGCATTGAGAGTGATCTAGCTAGTGACTTGTCCAGAGACAGCCAGTATGTGTTAGATACAGGACTTGAATCCTTACCTTCCTGGTGCTAAGGCTGGTTTTCTACATATGATGAAAGTCAAGAAGACCTGTATTCAAATCCTCCCTCTGAGACATCCTAATTGGGTAACCATAGTTCTCACTTAACCTCCTATAATCTCAGTTTCTTCATCTGTAAAATGCAGTTATTGTAATATTTTCCTCACAAGGTTGTTATGAAACAATGTATGTAGAATGCTTTGTAAACCTTAAAATTTGTAATATAAATATCACCTACCCTTCAGAAAATCCCAAGGATACAGAATTGGGTTGGCTGAGAGAATGCATACCCCTCACCAGGGGAATTAATAAACCTAATGTGTTAGAATATAATCTCCCTGAGGGCATGCACCATTTTTACTTCTTCTTTGTATCCCCAGAGATTAGCACAATACTTGGCATATAGTACAGTCTTACTAAACATTTGTTGACTGCTTGAAATAAATAATAGGAGTTACATGCTTACCCTTTGGAACCAAATTTGGTACCTCCAATGGCCAGGAGAGTTTTCAGATTGAGATTTCTGCAATGGAAGGGAAATGAGTTTGATTCACTGAGGGCTTCATTTTCATACTGTTATGGCACTTCAATTTTCCACCATTAGAAACCCTTCTTTGAATTCAGACATGGCGTTTCTAGAAGATCCTCATTAACATGCAATTTTCTGATTAATATGGACTCTTGGAGGATCCACTGGATCTTTCTGCATTTTGAACAACCAAGTAACTCTTTGCTTAGTTTCAGAATTGAAAGTTACTCCTTGCTGAGATGGTGTATGCCAGATGTACTGAGCTGGGGCCAGCTTATCCATAGCCAAAACTGTCATGGCCACAGCCACCAACCAAGACACAGATTTCTTTAGGGTTACCTGTCTCTTTTCCAGTAATCTCTTCAATAGCTTCTTATCTTAATGACTTAGGAGAAGAAGCATTAACTCATCCCCATCCACTGTCATATTAGCAAGGATTAGACACTCAGCTATGGTTTTGAGGGACTGGAATGAAGGACAAGCAGATTTGAATGGAGAAGATGTGGGGAAAGGCACCTGAGGTGCTGAAGGAGAGGACAGTCTTGGCTAAAATTAGAGTGAGGGAGGTGTCCTGAGCAGCCAGGGTCGGTATAAGGACACTAAGCATGGGACTTGAAAAGGGAGATGAAGGAAAATAGTAGATGATGGAGATAAGCACTTATGTATGCCACAATTTTGTCCAAGCCAGGCCACTCAGGAGGAATGAGAGAGAGAAGCAATCCTCTCTCAACTTTTCTGCTCTACTCCCCACCCCCTGCATGACACAAGAATCCCAGTGTCAAAGTTCTCCCATCTTCCTCCCATCCTGCTTCAGATGGGCAGGCAAGGATCTAGATCAACCCAAAATGGGTATACCCACACCACAGGCCATTCATGCCCATCCTTATCCCAGTAGCCTTTTCTTGAGATCATTGAAGGTGTGATATAGGGTGACATCATTCCTCTCCTCAGAGGTGATCTTGTTGTTGCTGATATTGGTAAAGGAGTAGATGAGGTGGGTACAATCAGGAACGAAAAATCCCAGACCAGTTCGGTACTGGGCCCAGTCAGTGAAGTAGCAAACCAGTTTGTAGGCAGAGCCTGTAAAGAAGAAAGGAGAGAGTTCATGGAACCAATTGTAGGACCTGGTCAGCTGCTAGATTCTTTCTTAGACAAATGACAAAGTCTCCAAGTTGGAAGGAATCTCAGAAGTCATTCAGTCTAACCGGTATCTTTTTTTTAAAATTTCTTTTTATTAATTTATTTTGATTTATCAGTAATCACTTCCATATGCTTTTGAGTTTAAAATTTTTCTCCCCCTTCCTCCCCACCACCCTCCCCAAGACAGCACACAATCTGATATAGGCTATGCATTTACATTCATTTTAAACATATTTTCACATTAGTGATGTTGTAAGTAGAAATTAAAACCAATAGGAGGGACCATCAGAAAGAGGAAACAAAACTCAACAGAAGAGAAAAAAAATAACAATTTGGCTTCCATATTTCTTTCTTTGGGCATGGATAACATTTTCCATCACAAGGCCTCTGGAGATGTCTTAGATTCTTGTACTGACAGGAAGGGTTAAGTTTATCAGTATTAGTCATCACAGAACGTGACTGTTATTGTGTACAACATTCTCTTGGTTCTGCTCATTTCACTCAGCATCAGACCATACAAGTCTTTCCAGGTTTTTCTGAAGTCAGCCTGTTCATCATTTCTTATAGCATAATAGTATTCCATCACATTCATATACCACAACTTGCTTAGCCATTCCCCAATGGATGGGCATCCTCTCAATTTCCAATTCTTTGCCACCACAAAAAGAGCTGCTATGAATATTTTTCTACTTGTAGGTCCTTTTCCCATTTGTGTGATCTCTTTGGGATATAGCCCTAGAAGTGCTATTGCTGGGTCAAAGGGTATGCACATTTTTATAGCCCTTTGGGCATAGTTCCAAATTGCTCTCCAAAATGGTTGGATCATTTCACAACTCCACCAACAATGCATTAGTGTTCCAATTTTTCCACATCTCCTCCAACATTTATCATTTTCCTGTTTTGTCATGTTGGCCATTCTGATAGGTATGATGTGGTACCTCAGAGTTGTTTTGATTTGCATTTCTCTAATCAATAGTGATTTAGAGCATTTTTTCATATCACTCTAGATGGCTTTAATTTCTTCATCTGAGAACTGTCTGTTCATATCCTTTGACCAAAAACTCAAAGACCCCAGCTTCTGGGATAAGAACCCACTCTTTGAAAAAAACTGCTGGGAAAACTGGAAAAAAGTATGGCAGAAACTAGGCATAGACCAAAATCTCACACCATATGCCAAAATAAAGTCAAAATGGGTACATGATTTAGATATAAAGGCTGATACTATAAGCAAACTGAGAGAGCAAGAAATAGTTTACCTGTCAGATCTATGGAGAACAGAAGAATTCATGACCAAACAGGAGTTAGAGAATATTATGAAAAGCAAAATAGATAATTTTGATTACATTAAATTGAAAAGTTTTTGCACAAAGCCAATGCAACTAAGATTAGAAGGAAGGTAGAAAATTGGGAAAGAATTTTTACAACCAGTCTCTCTGATAAGGGCCTCATTTCTAAAATATTCAGAGAAATAAGTCAAATTTATAAGAATACTAATTGGTATCTTAAAAGGAGCCTCCTCTACAATATTCTATAGAAATGATAAACCAGCCTCTACTTGGAGAGCTTCAATAGAATGAAGAACTCAACTACTTCAGTTCATTCTCCAATAGCTCCAATTACTAGGAAGCGTTTCCTTACATCAAGCCAAAATTTGCCTTCTAGTCACTCCTCCCTCCTACTCCGCTGTTCTTAGTTCTGCCCTTTAGGACCAAGCAGAACAGGTACAGTACCTTTTCTAGCGGCCAGAACTTCAACACAACTATTATATCCCCATTGCCTTCACTTTTCCAGGCTAAACATCCCCAGTTACTTCAACCATTGTTAAGCAGAAACTTTGAAATGCAAAGATGAGTCAAGAAAACCCTAGAGAGACAAATTTATTTAAACAACAGGATGTTTTATGTACGATGTTTCAGTGCTAACATTCTACTGCCTAACATAATCTAGCCTCAGACACTTACTAGCTGTGTGACCCTGGGCAAGTCACTTAACCCCAATTGCCTAAAACAAAACAAAACAAAACAAAAACAGACTTCTTCTCCATTAGAGCTATCCCAAAATAGTACTGGCTGCCTCGGGGTTCCCTTTCATTAAATGCCTTCCAGGGAATGCTAGTGACCACCTGTCAGAGATGTTGCAGAAGGGATTAGTGGGCAGTTACAAGTTAAACTAGATGTCTTCTGAGGCTTCTCCACCTCAGTGACATGGTGATCTTCTCATCTCCCTAGAGCAGAATCCTCTCTCCTCCAACACCTCCCACACAACATCCCTTTCCCCTCAGCTTCTTGCTGAGCTGGTCAAAGAGGGCTTCATGAAGGACATGAAGACTGGAGCTGCACCTTGAGGGAAGAGCATGATTCCAATGGGTCAAGGAAAAGGGGGGACATTCCAGGCAAGGGAAGCATCACGGGCAGGTTTGCCGAGCAAGAAATTCTGGAGGGGTTTTCAAGGAATTCTGATTTTTTTGGATAGTTGGAAGGATGGGTGGATTCCTGTGAGGGAGTCATGTGAGATCAGGTGGGAGAGATGTGTGGAGACTGCTTTGTAGAGCAGTGGGGTCAAACTCAAATAGAAACTGGCCCTTGAAGGCTGTATGTTGACTTAGAAAACTGCTAACAAAATCTATGTTGTATTACATTTTAATTTATTCTGTTAAACATTTCCTAGTTATATTTTAATCTGGTTCTGCGGCTTTTAGGAATTGTGCTGGCCACATAGGCACTGAGTTTGCTACCTTTGCTGCAGAGGACCTCAAGAATTCTCATGTTAGACTATTTAGATTTTTTTTAAAATGTGGGTTATGGAAAAGCATGGGGAAGCTAGGTGGTGCCATAGTGCATAGAGCACCTGGCCTGGAATCAGGAAGATGTTTCCTAGCTGGGTGACCCTCGGTGAATCATTAAATCTCTCTATGCTTCAGTTTGCTCATATTAAGATGGAGATAATACCACCTGCACTCCCTACTTCACAGGGGTTTGTGAGTCACTCGGTGAATCTGAAAGCCCTATAGAAAAGGGAACTACTATTATTGTCATGATTTTACCTTCACAAGGACATAGATTCAGCTATCTCATCATCAAGTGCCTTGTCCTCCCCCCCTGAAAATACAGTTCCATGGAAGAGTTTCAGACAACCTCTGCCTTTCTATTCTCCCTTTCTCTCTCACATACATTTATGTAGTCAAATCAAGTCAAGTCTAGGCACTAAGATTTATTCAGCAGCCCCTATGTGCCTGGCACTATGCTAAGTACTAGGGAGACAAAGAAAGGTACAAAGATCCCCCTCTCTCAAGGAACTCACAGTATAGTGTAGGTGCATGGATGGATGATCTTTAAACCAAAATGTATGAAATTGTCACTAACCTCCCGACCTTCTTTAAATCGTGGGATCATCCTGTATCCAATGATATATCCCTTGTTACTCATAGGGATCTTAGCAAGGTTGTATGCCAGGTTATTCTTCCATAAGTTTAGACATGTAAAAAGACAATGTCTGGAAGCAATCCTGCCAAGCTGCTTACCCCAGCATCAATGAATGTGGGATCATTCTGAAGTCCCTGTATCAAAGAGACCTTCCTTTCTCTCTCCTCCATTGCCATTCTGATCTGACACCAAAGGGGAGTCATAGAAAAGCAGCTGGATTTGGAATTTACTGATGAGGTTTGAAGTAAGTGACTTCTAAGGTCCTTTCAGCTCTTAATAAAGGATTCTAACATGTCCAAGGATACTTATGTACATGGAAAAAATAAATTTATAAGAATTTTCAGAAGTTATTGAGGAGCAAAGATGCTGTTCAGGCCACAGAACAGCTCATTCTTATCCCTGGTCCCCAAAACCTTTAGCCTTTTGGAACCCTCCCCAAGAGCTTTTCTGGTGAAAGCTGGTCCAGCCTGCCACAAGAAAGCTACCTAATTGCCTGTATTCTGGAAATTTCATAGACTAGATGTCTTGGAAGGCACAAAGTTTGTCCCAAAAGCCTGTGATGTTCTCTATGGAAGAGGAAGGCAAGGGGGTCCTTGGGGAAAGAAATCTCCCCTTTCCTCTACAATCTTTTCTTTCTCTTCTGCTGTGTATGTGGAAACACCTATTTTATTCAGAATTTAGTGAGATCAGAATAGTAACAAATGGTTGTCTTAATGAAGGAAAACAAGACAAGACAAAACAAAAAAGGAGGAAAGATGAAAGACATTCAGGGAAACCCTCTTCTTGGATTCTTTGCTGAATCTCCTTCATCACAATGTGTAGATAGGTCTCAGTTTGATTCCTAACCTGTTGTTTATAAGCAGAGAGTCATCTGGTAGGGTTATTTCTGCTACATTTTTGGAAAGATCTTTAGTGATTTTAATACATGGACGGATGACACCCTGTTGGAAAAGAACCCACAAAGGTTTTGATCTAATAAATCGAATCCCCTCTCTTTTCTGGACTCCATTCTTTTCTGTTTCTTCCATGTGACTGCTTTTCCTCACTCTCTTTTGCTGGCTCATCATCCATGTCAAGTTCCCTAACTGTGGCTGCTCCCCAAAATTCTGTCCTAGGCTCTTTTCTCCCTCTCTCTGTGTATTCATCACCTCCTATGCGTTTGGCTATCATCCATTCAGTAAATGACTCCAAAGACCTTTATATCTGACTCCCATCTCTGGAGCTTCAGGCCTCCATTATCAATGGCCTATTGGACATTTCAAATTGGACATCCTGGAGACCTCTTAGACAATTATCCAAAACCAAGCTTATCATCTTTTCTCCTGAACTCATCCTCCCTTCCTGGGGCAGGAAACATCTTGGGAAAGATGCTGGAGTGGTTTGTCATTTCCTTCTCCAGCACCTTCTACAGATGAGGAAACTGAGGCAAACAGGGTCACGCAGCTAGTAAGTATCTGAGGTTGATTTTGAACTCAGGTTTTCTTAGCTCTAGGCCTATTATTATATCCACTCTGCCACCTAGCTGCCCAAATAATAATAATAATAGCTAGTATTTAGGAGATACAACATTGAAATAAGAGATCAGGGCTACTGGGGCTGATTAGATTTTGCAACTTGAGCAAAGATTTCACTCTATTTGTAACCCTCCAGACTTTGTCTTGGCTAGTGGGACACCAGAAGTGTGGATTGGCCTGGAGTTAAAAGCCACATTAGACATTAAACAAGAAAGAAGGCTTCTTTTTTTTTTTTAAACTCCTTACAATGTCTTTAGAGTCAGGTGAATGCATCTCAGTCTTCATCTATGTCTCTCTTCTCTATGTATCTCTTCTCAGTTTCTGTCTCTCCTCCCGGTTTGTTGTCTCTGACTTTTTATCTCTCTCCTTTCAAGTTGCTATGTCTCTGTGTCTCTTTCTCTTTGATTTTGGTTCTTTCTGTCTGTGTGTTTCTCTCCCTCTTCGTAAGAGCTAACATTTATATAACATCTACTATTTGACAGTCACTGTGCTAAAAACTTTACAAATATCTCATCTGATAGCAACCCTGGGAGGTAGGTGTTATTATTACCCCCATTTTACAGATGAAGAAACTGAGACAAGTAGAAGTTAAATGGCTTGCCCAGGGTTATCCAGCTAGTAAGTGTCTGAGATCACATATGAACTCCGGTCTTCCATCTATCACCTTATGAGAAAAGTGATCAGAGAAAGGTTTCAGATGATTAGGGAGAGGACATGATGAGTGACTCTGGAATAGAGGATTTCTGGATACCTTGAAATAACCACAAGGCTGAACAAGAAATGGGTTGGCATAGAACATGGGGAGCATGGTGAAATGGTGCTTAACTTCAAGTCAAAAAACCTAGATTTGAGTTCAGATCAGCCATATACCCTGTGGCAAGTCAATGAATCCCTGACTTTCTATGTCTTCATCTGTAAATGGGAATAACAGTCCTTTTGTTCCCTATCTCAGTCAATCAGGAAATTAGCATTTGTGTGGTGCCTACACTGTGCTCTAGGACCTGGAGATAGTAAGAAAGGCAAAAGACAGGTCTCTTTTCTCAAGAAGATCACTGAGTTTTTGTAAATATAAGCTGTTATCACATCTGTGGCTTCAGGACAAAATCGAGTTGTCCCTACCCACATATACCCCAAAGGATCTGCCCATGGAATCTTTAACAACTGCCCCATACCAACACTCTCACCTAAAATGTTTCTGCATCAGTTACATAAGACTGAGACCATTTGGGTTTTCATTGCAGTTCTTATTGTAGAGTTATTAGTACATTATAAGCAAAGGCTATTAATCCAGGAGAATGGGAAAAGGAAAGGAAGGTCAAGTTTATGCCCAGTTGCAGCACTGACAGCTGGTGTCAAAGACTAGTCCAGCTGAGCAGTACTGCTGGTAGGTTATGCCATTCACACAGTTCCAGTAAGCGTTACTGTTACCGGCCACAGGGTAGAGACCATCGGCTTTGCCAGCACAGAATCCCCTGTCCTCAGAGCTGCCCCCAGAGCTGCCCCGACCTGAACCACCAGGAGCTGATGTGGTTGGAGTAATTGGTTGAGTTGAGGAGGGACAGCCTGGAACATAAGAGGAGAAAATCACTGTGGACTTAACAAAGGCTCATGGCACTGGGGAAAGAGAGGTTTGAGCATTGAGTGGACAGTCAGGTTACCTGGATTTTGAATTGCAGCTCTGTAACCTTAGGAGAGCCACTTATAACTTATCTGAGCCTCAGTTTCCTAACCTGTAAAAACTGCACTATCTACAAAAAGAAAATGATTGTAAGGATTGTACTGTAATTAATGTAACCATTGTAATGGTTGTAAGGATATGGAACATATGAAAAACAAAGATAACATACTTTGAGTATCACATAAGTCCTAGTTAGGTGGCATGGCTGAAGGGGAAATTCACTGACTCTGGAGAAGGAGGAGCTTTGTTTGAATCCTGTCTCTGACGGTTTCTTTGTCAACTTGGGTATAGAATTTATTTCTGCCTCTATAAATGAAGTGGCTGAACTAAATGACCTCTAAGATCCCTTCGGACTCCTGAGTCATGATCCTTTTATTATGAAAAGAAGATTATTTATGGTGTATATTATGGCTGAGAATATTTGTAAAATAGAAACAATGGTATTTGTACTACCTACCTCACACAAGTCATGGGAAACTAGATTTAGAGCTGGAAGGGACCAGAAAGATCATCTCGTCTGTCAATGAGACCCCTGAGGTTCAGAGATCTTAAGGGACTTGCCCAAGGTCACACAGAAAATAAGTGGTAGATTCTAGATTTCAACTCTGTTTTTATGGTACCACCTCCAGTATTCTTATCCCTTCACCATCTTGTTGTTATAAGAAAAGTGCTTTATCCTTTGGGCAAGTCATGTCTACACCATATAGGAACATAGAGTGAGAGTTTGAAGGGACCTAAAAAATCTAGCTTGGAATCAGGAAAGCTCCTCTTCATGAGTTCAAATCCAGCTTTAGACACTTGTTTGTGTGACCCTGGGCAAGTCACTTCACCTTGCTTGCCTCAGTTTCCTCATCTGTAAAATAAGTTTGCAGTGGAAAAACCACTCCACTATTTTTGCCAAGAAAACCCCAAAATAGCATTACAGAGAGTTGGACACTTAAGAAATGATTAAAAAATAACAAGAATCCAGCTATTTCAACTCCCTTGTTTTGCAGAGGAGGAAACTGAGGGCCAGGGAAGTTAAATGATTTGCTGAAGGTCAAGCATGTAGTTAAATGCTGGAGGTGGGATTTGAATACAGGACAGTCAACTGCAGAGCCAGTGTTCTTTCTCCTTGGGCCTCAATTTCTTTTTCATCTGTAACAGGAGGGGGTTGAATTAGATGATGCTGGAGGTCCCTTCCAGCTCTAGGTCTGTGTCCCCATAAATCCAACCCATGACGGTTCATCATTTTACCTTACAACTGTTCAAAGTCAACAAATCTGATCATTTTTTTCACCTAGTCCATCACTGGATTCCACTTACACCGTAAGCTGTGTTCTTGACATTACAATGCCAGGATATGGACAGATGTGAAGATCTGATTCTCAGAAGAATGGGGGTAGATGTTTAGCAGTTGATTATTTGAGTTATCTTTCATGTGTTATAGGGTGTGGGAAGTAGATAAAGGGCATTTTGGGACCCTGGGCACATCTACAGCTCCCACTTACTTGTACTTTCCAGACCCAGGGCTTTCTTCAAGGTATTGATCAGGGGGTATCTTCCCTGGTCACAGAAAGTCCCAGTGAAGTCATCCAGATCAATTGTCCAGACCATGGCGCCTCCAAAGTTATTTTTCTTCAGCCAGTCAGCCTGTGGGGGCAGGACAGATGTTTTTATCCAGGCCCTCCTGGATTCTCCTAAGATTTTTGGGATTCAAATAGAGATGAATGGACTTAAGGGAGCTCAGAGAAATACTCTACCTTAATTTGGAAGCTCTTGGGGTTGTCATAACCAACCCAATCACTGCCTTTGTAAGCATAGGGAACTTTCCCATAATCATCCCACACCTCAATAGCACCATCCTTCAGGAAGAGGCAGATCTGAGAAAAGAGAATAGCAGAGAGGTTGAGAAAAGTTTTCAGGAAAGGGGCTGAGTGAAAATGACTTCAAGGAGAGTGCATGTAATCCTATCTGTGAACATTTCACATCAGGATTCTAATTCTTTAACAAATTTTGGATCATTTATTTTCAGTAATTATAAGGAAATTATTGAAAGATGTAGAGAAGGAGATTTGTCTAGATTAGGAGTTCTTAACCTGGGATATGTCAGACGGTCCATGAATTTGGGGTAGGAAAAAATTGCATTTTTATTTTTATCAACCTTTAACTGGAACTTAGCATTTCCTTCAAATACTTAAAACATTACCCTGAGAAGAGGCCCATAGACTTCACCAGATTGCCAAAGGCTATTCATAGTATAAAAAAGTTATGAACCCTCTGGTCCAGATAGATGATTTCAAAGATCCCTTCAAAGTGTAACATTCTATGATTCTATACAACTGGGTAAGGTATGGCCTGGCAGTTTTTAGGACTCTATAGATTTACAAAGATTCCATGATGAATGTTTGCTGTTCCACAGTCTCCAGATGAGAATTTCAGATATTCTGTGTGGCCTGGGTGAGGGTCCATCTAAAAGTCAGATTTTTCTGGCCTTCCAGTGCCCTTCTAAGACACAAAGGAACAACAGGAAGAAGTGTGGTACCATGGAAAGACAGTAAGAGAAGCCAGGTTCACAGCTCGCCTCTGATACTTACTTTCTGTGTGACGTGAAGAATTCACGTGATTCTTAGTTTCATTCTCTCTAAAATGAAGAGGTTGGTCTAGATGGCCTCTGGGGTCTCTCCTAGGTCTAGATCTATGATTTTTCCCTCCTAGTTTCTGCTTTGAATTATAGGAAAATGGGACAGAGTAAGAAGGCTAAGCATCACTGGGAATATGCAACCCTTTACATTTCTATTCAGAAGTAGAAGAGTCAACAATAGTCTTTCCTCTTTTTTATGCAACTTCTAGACACTTACCTCATAGTAAGTCAAGAAGCCAGCCTCCCTGGTGTAGGTCCCAGCAGGACCAGGGCCAGAGGCAGGGACACCAATGCCGTGTTGAGAAGGATTGCTCAAGGTGAAGGTGTGTCCGTAAGTTGGGAATCCAACGATGAGCTTCTCAGTTTGGGTGCCATTGTTTTTCCAATAGTTCATAGCATAATCCTGCAATGGAAGCGCATTTAAACTTGGTCTATCTTTCTGGGCTCAGTTCAAATACCTCATCTTTCTTGAAGCATTCCCTAGTTACTCCCCAGTTAATAACAACTGGGCTGTAAGTTTTGGCCTGGCAGGTTTGAGGACATGATTCCGTGATGAATGTTTGCTCTCCTATAGTCTCCAGATGAGAACTTCAGACATTCTCTGTGGTCAGAGTGAGGCTCTTCTACCAAGAAGTTTGTACTTCTCTTAAGCATGTTATATTGTGTTTTGTATAATAGTTAATCATGTTTAATTAGAATCAATAACTATTATTAATTATACTTAATTGTATTGTAATGAGTAGAGAAATGTCTTTTTTCTTCTTTAGGGTTATATGCTCTTTGAGAATCTACCCTCAAAGAAATT